GAACTATGTGGTCTCTGCGTCTGGTTATGTGATTACAGACATTTCATTACCCTCCTAGGTAATATCAGTGCTAGATCTACATGGTTTACCATTGCATTCCTCCACACAATATGACATGAAACCTCTGCTGTTGTCATTACAGTGACCTTCCAGTTCCAACACCTTCCTACATCATTGCTGCCTGATATAGGCGCCTGCTTATTTTTTTCCTCGGGAGCTAGAAATAACTTTTTTCTTAGATGACCCTGCTAAGATTAGATACTCTTGGCATTCACTCTTAGCATTATTTGCTCATTCTTTCCAGGAACACCATCACCATGATGAGGTAGCAAGCAGGACACAGGCTGGGAAGTAACTAAGAAACATTCTTGCAAAACAGTTGTAAATCAAACATTGAGCAACACTCAAGAGGGAAGAGTAAAATATATTTTTCATTTCAATCCTGCTTTTATAATCTGATATATAAACTGAGATTTGGAATCTATGTGAGTATATGCTATATATACTACTCTAAATCCATTTACAGTATTTTAAGTTTCATTGTTAATTATTAGAGATTCAATAGATTAGATTACAAAGTCTCAAAAGTAGAAAGGTATGATCATACGTTCATGTTTTTTAAAAAAATATCCAAATATCAAAACATGGAATGAAATGTTTTTCCAAGGATAATTGTATGAAAATAGGACTGAGATAAATGCATTTGTCTTTTAACCTTTCTCTTAAGATAAAGCATAGCATAATTTTTAAGCTAAAGTCCTTATCACCCTTAAATTAATTTAATAAAGATTTTCTCTTGAGAGAAAAATGGTTTAGGATTGCACTGATATCCAAAAACGAGAATTTTGCTTCTAGCACAAAACTGATGGCTTCTTTAAAAATAATTGTTGAATGGATAAGAGCTGGAGCTGCACATGTATAATTGGAAGATGCAACTATGCATCTTCCAATTATAACTCACATTACCCCCTAAAACTGTATGAAATATAAACAGCATGAACATGGAAAAACTAAACAAAGTGAAAGATGAAATGAATTGACTACGCTATCTTAGACATCAGCAAATTGAAATGAGAGAAGAGAAACCAAAACCAACATACACATTTTCACTTGTGGCACAAATGACTGAGCTCAAATTACCTCTGGTTGGCGTACAAATCAGCAGACTAAGTTGTAGACTTCCCTTAGGCATGAAAGCTTGCTGGGTGACTTTGGTTAGTGACTCTCATCCCAATCCATTTCACAGAGTTTGTTGTGGAGAAAATAGGAATATTCAATTTAGATTAATTAGCTCCCTTGAATTATATATAAAAAGGTGGGATAAAATCTAATAATAGTAATATTATAAATATTCTGATATTTTGTGCAAAAGATGTCTCTCTAGAAATATATATGGTTGGGAAAGATGGGAGGATATAGAACAAGACAATCGGCAGCAGGGCGGTTGGGTTGGATTAGATTACAGTTTTGATGAGTACTATTAGAAGACATAAAGGGCAACCTTGAGGATAGATCATCCTGGAAAAGGTCTTTTTAATTGTTGTTATACGTAACTAATATAATTGTTAGTTCCATATCGTCTCTGTCAATTTGTCCTTTCTAAATGTTTGTTATCATGAATTTTTCTTAGGAACAAAGGAATCTTCCATTTATTGTCAGACATTTAGTCAATTGAGCTTAATATAGTCTGTATTGACAGTGGGGGTAAGAAGGAACTGCATGTAGCACATGTACACTGTTAGTGAACTATGGCCCTTCCTTGTTCTTTCCATTGTGATTATTGTAGTGATTCTGTTAATAACTTTTCCTCCCATATATAGGCTTTATCAACATGGTTGTACTGACAGAAAAAGACAGACCTGTTGCTCAGATGTTACGGAATTCTGGAACATGTCCCCGCTGTATTTTCAGATTCTGTGGTGTGGGATTACAGACTTCCTACAGGCAACCTCATAAGGTTTGATTAAATTAGAATATATAATGTTGATGAGCATTATTTTCATGAAGTGTTCAGTCTTAGTCACACCTCTTTTCATAGCATCTTTCCTGAGGGTTGAAAGGAGATTTGGAGTGAACAGGTCCAAAACGTTTTCACGATGAAGGAACACATGCAAGCAGTACTATTTATTACGTTGTGCTAGGGATCCTGAATGGGGGAAGGAGATGACAATTAATGCTAAAAATATCTATCTCAGAGGCCAGCCAAAGGAAATAACCAAGCAAAACATCATGAAGCCAATAGGTTAATAAACTGAAAGTGATTAAAAGTTAGTAGTCCCATTTATGACTGATCCTTAGAGTCCAGATCTGTGTAGGAATTTGGCTATTTAATCTCCTCTGATGGTTCCATTTGTTAATTTGTTTTTCTCTTCTAAATATCAGTGGTCTTTTCTATCATCTGCAGGCCTCAGACTTGTTTTTCAATCCTCTGCCCTTGATAACTTTTTTTTTTGTGGTTGTATCAGGCACTGATTAAAAATGATGCCATTGTTAGCTGGTTCTTTTGGTTCCACCACAAATGCGCACACAACAAAAGCGCGCCTGACTAAACCGCGGTGTCTAAAGCGCAGTGACAAAACTGTGTGACGAATTAGCGACTAATTAGCCCTAAAGCGCACCGACAAAAGCGCGCCGACAGAAGCGTGCTGTAACGTAACCCTCAACCTAACCATAAACCTAACCCTAACCCTAACCCTAAC